AATATGACATGATATCCATTTCCTTCCTTATAGTTGTGTCTCTGAGCCTTGTGTCCGTCGCCCCCCACCCCCACTTCTGCCTCCCAAGCGCTAGGAATAAACGTGTGTACCACCACTGCCTGTTTTATGTATATATTTGTGAGTCAGCAACTCATTGTTGAACCTCAGGTAAGCCTGAAACTCACTACATTGTGTAGCCAGTTTGACTTTCACTTCAGCATAGTTCTTTTACCTTAACCTGCTGAGTGCTTGGCATTATAGGCCTGCGTTATCATGCCCTGCTTCCTTGGAAAATCTTTTTAATAGACAGCCTTATTTCCATTTCCCTCTTTTGAGTTATGCATGTTTGTATGTGCTCATATGAGTTTGTGTGTGAAAACCAAATGTTGGCGTTGGGAATATTCTTAAATCATTCATCTTATGTGCCAGAGTGTCCCATGGAACCTGGAGCTCACTGATTTAGCTAGACTGGTTGCCAAGCAAGCTCTAGGGGTACTTCTCTATCCATTCCACCAGCTTGTAGATTTCAGATGTGCCTGTGTCACCCAAATTTTCATGGGTGCTGGGTCATACTTACATGGTCATCTGTTCGGTCCTCCTAAACCCCTTCTTAGAGCTGTTTTGATACTTGGCTTAGGATTCTACAGTTACAAAACTCAATTTTTGCATTTTTTAAAATGTGCTTTTTTTTTTTTTTTAAAGAGCAGCTGAGAAGGCTGTTCCTGCTATAACCTAAGGTGGGACATCATGGGGTGCCTAGAGGTTAAAGGCTGTGTATTGCTTTATTAAAGACAGGCTTATTTCAAGTCTTTGACATTCTTTCTTAAGCAAGAATGACATCACAAGTGAGGTGGCTGTTTATTTTATTGTGGAGTTGTTGCATTTGTACTATCCTTTATCTGTTACCGTAGTTGTTTTTTTTTTCTTATAGAACTTTATTTTTGCTTAATGTGTGTAATCTGTCTGAAAAACAAAAACAAAACCCAAAATGGAGATGAGGATATGGCTCAGTTGGTAGAGCGTTTGCTAAGTATGCACAAAGTCTTTACTTCAACCCTTACTGTCACACTGGCTGAGCACAGTAGTATAATTCCAGTACTTAGAGGCAGGAGGGTGAAAAGTTCAAGGCTGTGCTTCACTTAATAATGATTTGAATGAGACCCTGTCTCAAAAAAGCAAAACACACAATAACGAAACAGGGAAAGATGTGGGACAAGTAAGATGCTCATTAAATGTCGGTTTCATAATGAAAACCTCCTGCAGACATTACATGGTATATAGTAGCTTGTTCTCCTTTTCTTTGGTTTTTCTTTTTAAATGTTCACTGTAAAAATAATTCAGCTTTCCTTCAGTTTCAAAAGTTACCTCAAATAGGTGGTAGCGATTTTTTGAGTTAGTAAAAACTGGCTTTGGGGGCTGCTCAAGACTGTTGTGGGTTTCTAAATTACAGGCTTGTCCCCTGGTTAATTAAATATCATTTCTGTATATAAATATTAGTATTCTTTTGCTCCTTTTTAATGCTTTAGACTGTCTGACTAGGACATCCTAACAATTTTCTCCTGTACCAAAGAGAGCACCAAAATTCTTTATAATATTCTTCTTCCCCCAAGTTGTAACTTATCTTTTGTAATGGCGAGAAATTAGAAGAAAGCAAAGCCTGGGGTTGGAGAGATGATGGCTCAGAGGTTAAGAGCACTGACTGCTCTTCCAGAGGTCCTGAGTTCAATTCCCAGCAACCTCATGGTGGCTCATAATTATCTATAATGAGATCTGGTGCCCTCTTATGGCCTGCAGGCACAAATGCAGGCAGAATAATGTATGTATGTATAGATAGATGGATGGATGGATTTAGATACTGTATGTACAAATAGGTAGGTAGGTAGGTAGTTAGGTAGGTTAGGTAGATTCTTAAGAGGGAAAGGAAGCAAAGCCTGATGATGCATTCCTTTGATCGCATCATGTAGACATTAAGGCAAGAAGGTGGAAAAGTTTGAGGCAAGTTTGGGTCATTAGAGTGGGACCTTTCTTAAAAACAAGAACAGAAACAAAAACAAAAAACTTAGGAGATGAAATTTTCCTTGAAGGGCCAGCCTATCTTAAACTTTTGTTCTTTTGAAGTGTTGAACCCAGTGCCTCTGCAAGTGTTCTTTGACTAAGCTACATTCCTGGCCTTTCTGGGAGAGAGAAAACAATTTCTTAAAATATTTTAAAAATTCTATATGTATGAGTGTTTTGAAAATAGTATTTTTATGCACTTAATGCATACCTGGTGCTCTGAGAGGTCAGAATGCAGCTAGTCCTGAATCCAGGTTCTCTTCTAGAGCAGTAAGTTCTCTTACCAACGTGCCATCTCTCCAGCTCTTATTAAAGTTATTTTTAAGTTACATTGTTTGTGTGTGTGTTCTATTTTTTACCCTCTGAGACAGGGTTTCTTTGTGTAGCTCTGGCTCTCCTGGAGCTCAGCTCTGTAGACCAGGCTGCCTTGAACTCAGATCTGCCTGCCTCTGCCTCATGACCACTGAGATTAAAGGCACGGACTGCCACCATCACTCAGCTGTTTTTATTTATTTATTTATCTATCTATCTATCTATCTATCTATTTATTTTTATCTTTTTATTAACTTTATTTTATGTGCATTTGAAGGTGTCAGATCCCTTGGAATGGGAATTACAGACAGTTATGAGCTGCCTTGTGGGTGGTGGGAATTGAACCTGGGTCCTTTGGAAGAACAGACAGTGAGTGCTCTTAGCCACTGAGCCATCTCTTCAGTCCATTTTATCATTATTTTTAATCTTAAAATGATACATAGCTGGCATAAGTAATTAAATTAGGATAGAACAAAATCTTCATATAAATCCACTAAGTGCGTGGATTTATAGAGCTGGCTACCACTCCTGGCTTCAGCTCTAAGGTCAGGTTTTTTACATTCACCTGAAACATTGAAATAGAGTTTATATGCAAGGTGATCGTACTTGTTGGTGTTGGAATGCTCTGCAGTTGGAATTATTCCTGATAAAGCAGTTTGCCCTGTGAACTTAGGAAAATGATTATTTCCCACTTTAAGTTTTCTTTCTCAAAGCAGTCAATAGAAAAAAATATTTTGTGAATCTTTTGGTTAATTTTTAAAGCATTGGCCGAAAACAAAAAATAAAACAGAAAAAAAAATGTATATACAAAGTGAGCTTCCTGCTGTTTTTTTTTTCTCTAATGAAATCTTGAGAATATCTGAAAGTCTTTTTCCAGTGTTTGTCAATTTAACTTTTATTTTCTCCCTATCCTTTTAGTGTTTGCATATTTTGTTTTTTTTTTTAATTGATAATATTCATGTTCTTATTTTGAAATTTTTTCTTTTTTGAACACTTTTTCCCCCCCTGAGACAGGGTTTCTCTGTGTCTAGCCCTGACTGACCTAGAACTCACTTTGCAGACCAGGCTAGCCTTGAGCTTACAGAGCTCTGCCTGCATCTACCTCCCAGGTGCTGGGATTAAAGGCGTGCACCACCATGTCCAGCTGTACACAGGCATTGACAAAGTAGCCCAGGCTGGCCTGAAGTCACTGTATAATAGAGAGACTGAATTTGAACGTAATCCTTGTTGCTAGGTTTGAGGTATCATGCTTGGGTAGTCATTTGAATTTTTTGATAGTTTGCTAAGTAAGGATAAACAGTTCTTTTGTGTGGAATTGGGTCAAATTATAACTCGGCCACTTTTATTCCTATCACAGTTAAAAAAAAGTTCCAAATCCACTTAACAGATTTAGTTATGATCCAGCAGTATCCAGGGTGGGGTGGCAGTTAGCCTGTATAAAGTCAGAGATCATTTGTTTCCCTTGTATAGATGGCAAATTTATTTAGAGGCTTTACAAAAATTGGACTTTGTGAGGTGGTTCATTCTTGTTGTCATAGTACTATGTTAGTGGAAACAGGATCCCAGCTTAGAGGCCAAGCTGTATGTATATATAGCAATCTGTCTCAGAAACAACAGAAAATGAAAGATTTGGTTTATGATTTAATTTTTTGAGATAGGTTCTCACTATGTAGTTTTGGCTGGCCTGGAACTCAGTATATAATATAGTCCTCAAACTCACAGAGATGCTTTCCTCTAATTCTCTGTCCCTCCCCCCCACTGAAAATTAATATGCGGGCCACCATACCTGACTTGGATTTATGTGAACTGTTACTCTTTGATTAAAGTATAGGCTTAAAAATTATGTGTAGGTGTGTATCTATCTGTATGTGATTATGTGCAAGTGAGTGAAGATGCTTTTGGAGGCCAGGGTAGTTGGATTCACTGGACAGTTGTGAACTGCCTTACACTTGATGGGAGCCAAATTCCAGTCTATGGGAAGAGCAGTAACTGGTCTATAGTGAACAGCTTGTTTTGGGAAACATCTTCTGCACCAGTCTTTGTTTTTTTTGTGTGTGTGTTTTGTTTTTTGTTTTTTTTTTTAAGTTTTTTTATTCCATAAATTACAACTTTGCAAATTTGATTTCCTAACAAGATCTGGTACAACTTCAGGATATCTGGGATTGTTGCTTCATTTAATATAATGAATGGCCTTCACATTGCTATTAAGATACTGCAATTTTAGTTTCCATTGTTGCTGTAACCGTAGAACCATAAAGTTTATTATTCTTAACATTTATTTACTTGTGTGTCTGTGTGCCCATATGAATGACGGTCAGAGGGCAGATGCTAATTCTCCTGGTGGGGCTCGGGGATCAAACTCAGACTTGGCAGCAAGTACTTTGACTTGGTGAGCCCTTTTTCCAGCCCCGAAGTTTCTATTTATTATGTATGCTTGCACCTAAGGAGGCTAACTGAAGGCATTGGATCCACTGAGCTGGATGAGCAACAAGTGCTCCTAACCACTAAGCCATCACTCTAGCCTCCTCTCTTGACATTCATAGTCAAGTTACACAGTGTAATAAGGCAGTAGCTTTTCCACATTTCTGTTGTATCTAATTAGACTTTTCTTTCTCCTTTTCCTTTTCAGTGAATGGTAGTGTCTAGAAAGGGTATGTCCCTTCAAGAGAGAGGTGCCAATGTCCAACCGGCCTAATAACAATCCAGGGGGGTCACTGCGACGTTCACAGAGGAACACTGCCGGGGCCCAACCACAAGACGACTCAATAGGAGGAAGGTATGTATTTCATGGTAATCTGAAAAGGAATTGGGAATAAAATACAAAACAAACCCCAAAATGAACAAAACCAAATTAAAAAAAACTTCATTATGAGGACTAAAACATTACAGTATGGGTTATTTCCCTAATTTCTGAGCACAGTAGGACAGAAGATTTAAGTGATTCTTAAGTCTTTCCCCCAAATAAGTTAGGCCCCTCTAAATTCAATTCCCAGTCACTGACATGAAGGCCCTACTTTAAGGTTGTTAGCATATGTATGTTATGTTTTGTTTGTCCTTTATATTTGCTTAACACATGTTGCAACATGTCTTTAATGTGTTTAAGCCATTTGGGACCCTTCAGTACACCTTGACTTACTGATCTTTATTGAGCAGAAGTTTTATTTTAAGCACTTAGGGTTTGACAACTCAGCCTGAAGATGGTGGTGGTGGTGGTGGTGCGAGGACTAAACTAGTCTTCCCTGTGGGTTCGTGTGAACACTGAACTAGGAGCGTGTGAGATGCTTTGGTAGCACGCCAGCTCTCTGATTTTGTGCTCTGCGCTTGATCTTTTTAATTGGAATTGTTTTATGTAAGGTATTATGAAGAGTAACATAGTTTCTTGAAAGTGAAATTCTGTGTCTGATTTAGACACGGACTGTCATTGTTTATAAAGTACTCAGAAATAGTGAAACATAGTTCTCTAATCTAGTGATATCAGTGATTAGCTTGAAATGGGTCCGTGAATTCTATTTTTTTTTAGAATGGTTTCCTAAATTAACAATTTGAGGCAGTCATGTACATTGGAAAATCATTAAAAGAAATTGAAATGTCAAATGTAAGTAATGAATAATTTGTCCTGTTGCCTATAAGTAGTTAATAGGAATGGTCTTTGAACCGGGACAGCTTTGTGTGTTAGTTATGCCTCTGCCATAAAATTTGGAATTCTTTGGGTTAGGGTTACAGGGAACTCTAGTTACTTGGTCTTCTTAAATGGGTCCGTCTGTTTCTTGGAGTTGCTGGTTACCTTTAAGTACTATAATGTCAAACTTAATGTTACACTTAGTAGAGAGTTCTTGTTTTTCTACATTCAGCATCAGAAACAGCCATATTTAAGCTTTATGCTGATGGTTAAAAAATAGCACCTTTCATTAATTTGAATCACATTAACTTTCTGAGAATTTAGTGCTAATATCTATGTGTCATTTCTTGTTCTTTATTTTGTTTCATTTTTTTGAGACAAGGTTTTTTTCTGTATCCCTGGCTGTCAGAGATCCTCCTGCCACTGCCTCCTTGAGTGCTGGGATCGAAGGCGTGTGCCACCATGCTAGGATTAAATTCTCAGAAATCCCTCCTGCCTCTTGAGTGCTGGGATTAAAGACATGCTAGTTCATTTCACACATTATTAAAAATGGAAAATTTTGAAGTTTTCAGCATTTAGCAACATTAGGATTTAAGTCCTAACAAAATACGTAAGTCCCCATGCCCAGTTTTGAGATATGGATAAATGTAATTATGATGAGACAGGGAATATACAAAAGCAAAAGAAAAAAATATTCTACAATCCACTTAAAATGCTTGGCATTTTATTGACCTGGGCATATTGTCAATCTTTTTTAAATTGTAAGTACATGTGTTTATATGTTCATACAAGTTAGATCTTTTGAACAACTGTAGTTACACATTTTTAGTACATAAACTGTCAGCATTTTGAGTTAATACAAGAGCATTGCTTCTAATATCTATAGCAGTATTTTGTCTGTTTGGTACATCGGTGTTCTATACAATTTGTTTCTTACAGTACTATGTTTATAACTGATTGGTTTGAACATGGTCTCATTTCCTGTATGCTCAGTACTGTGGAGGGAGGGCAGGGAAAACATCCAAATTTGATCCCTTCTTGGGCCACAGAGCAAATTCAGGGGCAGCCTGGGCTATGCAGTTAGACCTTATCTCACATTCTCCCAAAAGTTAGAAACAAATGAAGTAATTAAATCCTGCAAGTAGGATTGTGTTGGTTTAAGTAACCTTATAAAGATGTAATAAATGGAATTCCACTAGATTATGGAATGGCATATTTCTAATTTAAACATTAAGAAAATAGTTGGTTATTGTGTATATGTGTATGATCTGTGTATGTATAGATGAGAGGACAACTTTGTGACATCCTTTCTATCCTTCTATCTTTGCATGTGTTACAGGAATCAAACTCAGGTTGTTAGACTTGAGTGTGTCACATACTTTTACCTGACACACCCTATCTGTGGCCCCCATTTGTTTTTAATGCAATTTTTTATTTGTTTTATTTAGTTACTTTTTATTCTTTTAAAATTAAGTGCTTATGTATGTGTCTGCATAGGAATTTATGTAGGTGCCCTTGGAGTTCAGAAGTGGGTGTCAGATTTATAGATGGTTGTAAATTTTGTGATGTGCGTGGTAGAAATTGTCCCTTGTTCTTGGTGCTGGGAACTGTCCTCAAGAGCAGCAAATGTTTTTAACTCTCCAGCCCTAAGGGAATGTGTCCTGTGCTCCCTTTTGAAGAAAAATAATAAAAAAAATTTAATTCTTTGAAAATGATGGGAAACATGCATGGATTTTTTTTTTTTTTTTTTTGTTATAGCTTTGCTATAATTTATTTATTTATTTATTTATTTTTTGGTAAAAGTAATTTACGTTTTTAAAAAGTATTTCTATGAACTTTTCTTTTTTTTCTTTTTCCTTTTTTCAAGACAGGATTTCTCTGCATAGCCTTGGCTGTCTTGGACTGGCTTTGGTAGACCAGGCTGGCCTTGAACTTACAGTCTCATAGCCATCTGAGTGCTTCTGCCTCCCTTCTTGGTGGGATTAAAGGTGTGTGTCACCGCACCCTGATTTCTGTGGATGTTTTTGTCTGCATGTGTGACTGTTCACCATGTGTGCCTGATGCCCAGGGAAGCCAGAAGAGGGTATCAGGCACTCTGGAACTAGACTTGCAGATTGTTGTGAGCCACTATGTGGGTGCCGATTATCTGAAAGTACAGCCATTGCTTTTGATGACCAAACTATTTTTCCAGCTGATGCTCTCACAATTTTTAACCTTTAACAGGCATGTTAAGTTTCTTGTAAAGCTTTGTTTTGTTCCAGAACTGTGTATGCATAGTGCTTTTCTAGCCTTGGTTTGGATTCCCCAGTACCGTGTGAACTGGACAAGCTGTATATCTTACAATCCTAGTAAATAAAGCTTGGAAGTTCAGGATCATCATCTTCTATCACATAACAAATTCATGATATCCTATTTCCAAAGAAAAATTTCTTCACAGAAGTAGTAAACAAAAGGTGTCCTACTTAGTTAACTAAGATTAGTATCATATTCATCCTTTCTTATGTCATTACATCTAGTTTTAAGCATATCTGTGTTCAGCTGTAGTATAGCGAGTTAGTACTGAAACATAGGATTTATTTTCTAGTTTTTAATATGTATAACTATAAACATAATCAAAGAAACAACATTAGGCCAAAAGGACCTTTTTTTTTTTTTTTTTTTTTTTAATGAAAACTGACCTGTTGCCATCCCCATCTTGATTCTTATGCTGGTAGTAGAATCTCAGCTGGAAAGAAATTGAGTGTGTTCTCATCACATCCCAGACCATGCTCTCTTTAACAGTTATCTAATCTTGAGAATATTTCTCCAGTGGTTTTTGTGTGGGAGAGGATTGACCTTAATTGGGACAGAACAATTGCAGTTGTGGTTTGAAGGTGACTCTGTGTGTGTGTGTGTGTGTGTGTGTGTGTGTGTGTGTGTGTGTGTATTTTTGAGTGTAAATGTACTAATGGAGGGCAGAAGAGGGTGTCGGGTCTCTTAGAGTTGCATTTTTACAGGTGGTTGTGAACTGCTGAAAGTGTAATTCCAAAAAGAGTCTTGTGCTCTTTTTTCGTTTGTGTGCTTTTTGCGTTTTGCTTTTTTTTTTTTGAGATGGTGTTTCTCTTTGGCTATCCTCGAACTCTGTAGACTAGGATGGTCTTGAACTCACAAGAGATCTGCTTGCCTCTGCCTTCCAAGTGCTAGGATTGTGATTATGCTCTTAACTTTTGAGTCATCTCTCCAGCCCAGGAACAGTGGACTTGTAAATGTGTGTTGATAAAGATCTAAGGAGTGAAATGATGATAACAATTAATAGTACTCACAGCAGTACTAAATTGGCATGTTTTACACTTAAAACCTTTTTCTTTTTAGTTGAGACTCAGGGAAACTGTTAAATGTGGAAGGTAGCTCAATCTGATACAGCTAGTTTGTATTCAAGATGTGATTATTTAGACTGCTTGATTTTATAGTCATTTGAATTATCAACCTGTTTTAACTGCAGAGACCTCTTGGTCCCAATGATGAAAGACTTAAAGGAGGCTATTGAGTACTTATGATCAAAGAATATTGTCATTCAGCTTAGCACTTAACTGGTAGGTTTTTCTCCTTGGGTTTTTTTTTTTTCGGGGGGAGGGTGTTGTTTGTTTTTCTGAGACAGGGTTTCTCTGTGTGCCTTGGCTGTCCTGGAACTGTCTGTAGACCTGGCTGCCCTCACACTCACAGAGATCCACCTGTCTCTGCTTCTGCCTCCCTGAGTCCTGGGATTAAAGGCCTGCATTATTACCATTACCTGGCTATCTCTTAGAATTTTAAAATTTGGGTTTCAGTTTGCTGTTTTTTGTATAGGATTAACCTGCCACTGTTGTGTAGTCTCCTTCTAGTTTACCTTCCCTCCTCCCAAATCAAGACTACCTTTCAAGCTGTGGCTCTATTTCATTATTATTTACCTTTTCACTTGGTCAACAAGACTTATTTATTTAGTACAGGCTGGCACCATTTTGAATCCCTTTGCCATAGCTTCCTGAATGCTGGGATTATAGGCATGTGTCAGTAGGCTGTGGTTAGTAACTTATGTAACCTTTTCTTTTTACTTTAAGGTTCATCTTTATTTTGTGTCTTTTGTTTTGTTTTGTTTTATTTTGCTAGCATCTTTATTTTGTGTCTTTTTGTTTTGTTTT